TGATCTGCAAAAAACAATAGGTATAATTTTGATTCATTAATACCGGATGACTATTGTTTTGGCTGTTGCAATTTTTTTATTTGACAATATAAGGGAAAAGGGGTTAGTAGTCAGTTATTGCATGTTTTAAAAATTCTTGTAGCTCACTGGTTGAAAAGTGATGCCTTAAGGTGACTTCTTTAGGTATTCTTTAGTCTTTTTTTTTTTTAATATCAGTTTGTGAACAAAATGGGATTTTTGAATATCAATCCAGTCTTCCCCTGCCCCCCAATGGGCACAAAAGCAAACCAAAAACCTCAACTCAAAACAAGTGAAAAACAAGCAAAAAGAACTTAATAGTTATTAAAGGAAACTTTTTTTTTGTTAGACTTTATATTAATTTGTTAAAGCTTCTATTTATTTTTTTAATGTTATCATTATGTATGTACACATTATAAACTTAAAATGATTTATCTAATTGATTCCTTTTGTTACCTGGCTAGCAGGGAAAAGGGGTCGAGGCCGGTCCTGACCTGTTACAATGAAGACTGACTTGCTATGTGGGATTACACCAGAAGCTTGCAGTGGAGTAATGGTAAGGAAATCAAGCAACCTTAAATATCACGGCTGTATAGGAGCATATTCTATTGCAGAAGACCTTCCTGTGAAGATCATGGAATCAAATACAGGACTTTGAACTAACTTGGACTTTGATATGAATTTCTTTAACAATTTTCTCTGCAGTGCAAGTTATTAAACTAAAGCTACTCTATTTTCCAAATGTGTTCAAACAGAAATTCTTCATAACTTCTAGCATGATATCTTAATAAAGAATAAAGTTCTTCTCTTGAAAAAATCTGCTCTAAGTAGATTTTTCCCCCGTTTTTTTAAATTAAGGATTCCAGCAGTGGTTTTCTGAAATATTCTCTTGAATTTGTGCATTTAAATTTTATTGCAGTGGTATAGATGAATACCATTGTTGGTATCCTTAAATTTCTGCTCACCAAGGTTAATCATGATTGTCTATCTTTTTTATAGTAATCACTTTTGAATTGTGTTCAGATATGCAGTTTCAGGTGTAATCATCAGAGCTGGTTAGTCAGGCATTCCAGATAGTGGTTCTTTTCAGAACCTTTTTTAAAGGGTTGGTTAACTACCTCAGTAGCAGAGGATTGAACTATACCCTGTCTGTACTGTACATAGAAAATCTTTGTAGATAAAAGCAAGGCTTGTTAAATGATATGAGGGTAAGATTTTAATATACCAAATGTAACATTCTTAATTGCCTTTAGTTTCAGAGGCTTGTAAGACTTCCTCATGACCATCATAACAGGCCTTGCTTTTGTCGTATTTTGTGGCTGAAAAAGCAGCCTTGCTTCTTCAGATATTGTAGTTATTTGGATGTATAATAGTTTAGCAAGATGTTACTTTTGTAAGACATCAGATGTTCAAAAAAAAGTGCATCCGAACTTGTACTAAATACTGCAGTGTCCCTTTATAAAAAGTCAGACTAAAACTGACAGCTGTACAGCGAAGCCTGACATTTGGATATTTTGAAGTTTTTTCATAAATCATAGAGATTAGTATATGGCTGTAGTTTAGCTTTTTAGGTAAAAGGTATGTTTCATTAGTGCATTTCTTATTGCTGATCACTGCAAAATTGTGAATCAGCTTTCCATTTCTTATGCAGGTCATGATAACTTGTAGATTAGATTACAATCATTTGTGCTATGTTTTTAATTTTCTAAAGCACCTTGATGACAGTGAGTGTTCAGTGGTGAAGCATCCTCTATTGAATCAACCTCAAAAATTTTTTTGCCAAGTCCAAAATTGATAGCTTAAAGTCAAAAGTGAAATTATAGTTTAATTAGGACTTGGTATAAAGAAATCCCTTTTCCCCTTCCCCAAAGGGATACTGCAGTTATATCACATACCCAATAGGCACCACGATGAAGATCAGAGCTTATTATACTTAAGGTTTTATACACACCAGTTCCCCCAGTAAATGCAAATTTAACAAGAAAATTAGACATGTCATATGTTCAAAATGCTCATGGCAAACAATCATTTTGCATTCCTGCAAATAAAATTGTTTTATACTGTAAGCTGGAGGCGAGTGTAACTTATTTTTGTAATAAAGTTTTTATTTTTTTTATGTGTCATTAATATAAATGTGTGTTAGTATAGAAATATTCTGGTTTAAAAACTTAGAATTGCACACATTTCAGTATGTTTATTTGTACTTACATAATTTTAGAATAGTGGTTGCCAATAGCCTGTATGTTTCACATTAATTGGTTTTTTATGTTATCTTAATAAACCATTTTAGTATGTTGTATGTCAGTTACTGGGATAGCTGGGACATAGAGTGTAATTTAAAATTTGTCAATAAGTATTCATTGGAATATATGTAAATGTGCCTTGCCGGTTATTGAAACTTACCTACAAAATGAGTATGGGGTGACAAAAATTAGTTCCTGGTGCTTAATGAAACTTTCTGCCACTGATTTTATATATTACCCCGTGCTTTTTTAAAGTACATCTCTCTGAAATCTTAGTGTAAGTTTGAGGGCTACACAAAACATTTTACATTTCATTTTGACATATAATGAGTATAACAGGTTTGTGGAAAGTGGGTAAACTAAATGTAGCCTTCAGCAAAATTGAATCTCAGTGTAATCCTTGGTGCTGGCATTTCCCAGTTCCAAGGAGTTAAATGATCCCATCAAAGAGGTCATTGCCATGCCTATTGGCACTTTACTGTCATATCCTTTTTAAGGGACACTGTCAAGGTGTTTAAGTTAATTCTCAGAATTATTTGTTGGGATTTTAGGGCGGGTTTGTTTGGCTTAAGTAAAAACTGCATTGTCACAGTTAAAAGATGAACATTTTTGTGATTTCACAAATGTGTTCCTAAAACATTAAAATATGGAGCTGTGGGTTTCTAAGACTATTTGCCATTCTTAGTTTGGGGATTTGGGAGGGAAAACTGATAAAGAAATTGTGAAGAATTGATGGGTAATGTAAACAGTGGTGGTGAAATATATACACACTCAAGTGAAATTAACTTGACAGTGTTCATTTGAATAACTTTGAATTCAAGCCATTATAATTTTAAAATTAAATATCATTTGCACTGTTCTGATAATGGGTGCAGTTTTTGAGCAATATAATCAGAGCTAAATAAATATGCATGTAGTGATTAGTGATGTGAACAATTAAGTTCTGAGAAGAAATACTAACTGGTATTTTCAAACTTAAATTTCTGTAGTAAAATCAGTATCAAACTTACCAGAAATCAAGGAAAACAGGCAATGCATATAAACATACTTTGGAATGTTGTGTGGCCTATAAAGCAATAATGCAATTTATATGGAATGTCATGGGATATGAGAAATGGAAATGCAAAAATAACTAATCCTTTAGTAAAAATGTCAACCTGTTAAAAGGGGAATGTTAACTAATGTAGGTTATTGCTATTTGTGATTTGTTTATGGGTTCTTGGCTTTGACAGCTTCAATGAATGGACAGATGACAAGTTAAAGAAATTTTGTAAATATTGTCAAGGAATGGGTCTTATATCCAAGAGTCAAGTTCCTTCCTTGGGGTGAAAATTGTATCCTTGAAAGCATTCTGATTGTTAGTTACCTAACCAAAACAGACGCAAGATTTTGTTTCTGCAGACTACTTGGCAATCAAAAGTGATCAGTAATTTAATCAGTTTTCAGAAAGTTGCTTTGTGAGGAAACTATTGAATATATTCTTTTTATGGAAGATTTTCAGCCATTGCGAGTAAATCAGATATTAAAAATGAAGGAGGAATTGAGCACAAAAAGAGCGGTTGCACACTCATGATGGCAGTTGTTGCATCATGAGAAATTTACCGATTACTGCAAGTCTGATTTAACAAAATATATTTTCCTTGTGATAAAATATGAAGAACAGAAGTGGATTGATGGAGTGATCTGGGGTATTAACTTGTATATAAGATATTTGAAAAGACTTATTTAATATCAGGGTGAACATTTATGCTAATTGGGCAAAATTGTCACATTCAGGACAGCCTCTTTGACTAAGTTAAAAGTCACTGTTAGAAATAGCAAAAGATCACCTTGTTATTACAGAGTATGATGTGTAGTCTTATTTTAAGGGGAGATATGAAAAAGTAGAAGGCCTTTGTGCATTTAGGAGAAGGAAGTAAAGGATTGCTCAGGTTCCTAAAACTTCAAGAATACCCACAATAACCATTTTCTCCCCATTAATGTGTATAAAATTTTTATCTGAGCATAGGAATCCAGTGGCGGGTATGAAATGAATGAACTTAAGTAATAGTTCATGAAATGGACAGACTTGTGGGGATGATGTATAGTATTAATTACTCAGTAATCATACCACTCAATAGGGCATGCCACTACTTTTTAAGATACTAATTATAAACCAATGTTCAAAGATATTTTTAACTGTGGGCAAATTAGTGAATGGACCTTTTGGTCTGTCACTTTTTAAAGTACTTATATATTAAGTTCTATTAGCACCACAGTCTGCCTTCAGTAATATACCTAAAATATTTTTTCAGGACCAGAAGCAGTTAGTTTGGAATAACAAATCTTTTTTTACAAATACAAAACAGTATTATAAGTAATGCTCTGGTCCAAGATTAGGTTTTTAATGACATTAACAGTAGTCTGATAAACATTTAGAAGTCTGGCATTGAGAAACAAAAGCTTGTACCTGATTAGTATTTTTATTTAAAAAATAATAGTTCTGTTAGCTTATTTAAATTGTCTCTTGCATTTATTTATCCATAGAATTTATATTTATTTCATTCCTTTTATATCCCTGAAAACTCTGCAGGCTCTTTGATTTGGGTTAGATGTGTGAAGTACTGTCTTTTGCCAAAAACCTCAAATTACCTGTTCTTTTCAACGTAGTGGGTTTGTGCTTGTTTGGAGATCAGTTCAAAAACTATCTGTACTATCTGTACTGCCTCTGATGTTAAGATTTTATGTATAGCATAAGGAAGCTAGCTCTGACTATATTTTCCTAAGAATAAAGACCTATTTTTGTAGCATGTCTTAGGATCTCCAGGAGTCCAAGAATTATTGTGGGTGTCCTCCATCGTTCTTCATTTAACAGCTTTTAAATAGACACTTGGAATCTTTAGAGCTCTTGCACCTTTTAATTATCCATACATTCAAAGTAACTAGCCATTGGTAAAAACAAATTCCCTAAGATCTCTTAATCAAGCACATGGTGGGGATGTGTATATAAATATTGGTCTTCACTTAATTTTAATAGATGATGGAAATAATCTGTGGTCATACACATGCTAGTGAACTCAAAGAAGGTAATGGTAATTTCCATGCCCCACCATGCAGTGTTCTTCCATTCTCTCCATCTCTTTAAGGTTTGGAAATGAGATTGAGGTTGCAAGTAAATCAGAAAAGGGGAGTGAGCAAACGGATCTATTTAAATAAAATGTTGCACATTTAGATGACTGCAAACAAAGTTAGGCAGATGAACAGTTTAAAATGTGTTTCATGAAGCTAAGTTGGCAAATTATCAAAGAGCCGGGAACTTGTAAATACATTCTTGGGCGGGGGCAGGGTTGTTGGCTCATAACCCTAGGATTTTCTTCAAGGAGGGGGCAGTAGGAGGGGTAGTGTTGGCCACTTTAGGACAAAAATCCTTTTAGGTCACTTAGTGCAGAGATTAGTTTGTATTTAGGAATACCAAAATTTGTACTGATTAATGAAAAGCTTTTGTCATTTTAGAATAGTCACGAGTTTTATACCAGGAAAATTCACTAGTAGGGCATTTTGTAAACCATTTATGTTGCCTTTCTGGCTCCCTGTGCAGATACCAAATTAGTACTTTTTTTTTTCTGGTTGAAATAAAGAATGCTGAATAAGACTTTTCGGTTGAGGGGGAAATCCTAATAAACCACTATGGAAATTAACGTCTTCAGGTATTACCATATCCTAAAATGTATTTCTAACACAAGCAATAAACTTTGGACAATGTTGAGGGCACTTCAGAATAATTTACAAGCCTCAGTGAATATCTGTAAATGGTTTAAAACAAGTTCTAATCAGAAAGTCTGCTATCTTTAATATTAATGAATTGTTATTTCTTGACTTTTTAGGCATTTAACTATATTCTTGTGACACAGAAGAACTTGGAGAGAATATTAGGATGCCTAAGATGCCTTGCTATCTTCTGTCACTTAAAACTGTAGCCAATTTGCCCTGGCCGGTTTGGCTTAGCAGTTGGAGTATCGGGCCTGCAGACCAGAGAGTCTGGGTTTGGTTCTGCTAGGGGCATGTTCCAAGAAAACCCCAAAAAAACTATAGCCAGTTTTACTTTTTCAAGGCTAAAGGACAAGGGTGTTGATGTGGATAAGTCATTACCACTGATGAACTAAAGAATATGACTAGAACCGTTCACAGTAGTATAAAATCTGTAGGAGAGTTGTAGATTCCAAAATTCAGTCTTCAAAATGTAGACATATCCAAGAGTAATAACATCACCTCTGGTGTGGCTCTTTAATGTTAATTTCAAATTGAGATGAAGGAAATTTGAATAACAACATTTATGTAACAATATTTCATTTGAAGTTTATTTAGTGTCTCGATTTTTCCCTATGAGAATTATAAAACGCTGGCACTGCATCATTTGAACACAAAATTGCTAAGACTAGGTGTTTCTATTTCTGTCTTGAGTAAAAAAAACCTTTATAGCTTCTTTTTAAAAGAATATTTAAATGATGGTATTGGTGTTTAAATTGGCAGCCTCAGGAATTAGGCATCTAAAATTGCTTTAACTTACTGTAATGTCATGAAAAACTAGAAAAGCATATATACTAATTGTGTTGCTTAGTATATTTAAAATTTGGAATGAGCTTAGAGAAAAATCACAAATAATGGGCAATATGTCAAAGGTCATCTATAAAAATTGGAATGCCATTCAGTTCTATGCAGGCATGTGCATACACTAGTTTTGGCAAAACTTAATATCCCTTGTTTTTCTTGAAATAGTAAAAATTCACATGAATTTGCAGAAATTGAATTCCTAGGGATCCTTCAACATTAAGGATAGGTGCGGTTTCTTCTAGGTGCTCCTAACTTCAGATTCATTTATAAATTGGATTAACATGATGAAAGGGTCTCTAAAATTAAAAGAAATTTTAGTTTGTTTCTTGGTGTTCTGAATACCCAGTTAGCAATTAGGATAGCATAAACAAAGCAAAGGGGCCCAGCAGCAGATTCTGTAACTTAATTTTTTTTTTTTTTTTTGGCTTATCATAGTGTCTTTTTTAATCAGTCTATTTAAATTACTACTACTTTTAATTACTTCATTTCTCTATGTTATTGTTTGTTTGCCTTTAAGACTGGAAGCTCCTCAGGGCAGGGAAATCTGAGTGGTGCTAGGCAGGTATTTAGACATTCTTCCAGATATTTTTCAGTTTGGTGGAAATTTATTTGGTGGATTGGGCTTAATTATGGCAAGTTCACTTGAAATGGAAATCAAAAAAATTTAACCACTTGATAACATGGAAAGCTTTTAAAAATTAAAGAGCACGAAATGGTCATGTTTAAGTTAATCTGAAGATCCACATTTAATGCTATAAAAATTGTGTTAAAGTTAAGGGGATAATTGTACTTGAGATTTATAGACAGCTTTATGTTTATATCTATTAATTGTAATTGTTAGGACAATATAGTCCAGTTGATTTTCAGCTTAATTTCAAGCTGCTGAACAAAACAGTATTGACCTACAAACCCTGTTTATACTCACTTATTTATGAGGAAGGAGTACTTCAAGACTGAATTCTTGTTTTCCTGATGAAGAGTCTAGGTGGTTTTGTGTCCATAAAGTTTCTATAAGGTTCTTTTGCAGAGCACTTTGGAGAGGATAAGCAATGAAGGCTAAATAACTAAGGTCTTAACAACAGCTATTTCTAAGAGTCACACATACTATATCTTAGAGTAGCTAGAGCAATGTTTGCATCCATATAAATAGACTAACATGTATGTTTCATTTGGTAGGTGGTTGAAGTTAAATCACTTGAAAAAGGATTCTGAATATACACACATCTTAGTTTGATTATTGATGGAAAAGAGAATATATTCTTATATGTGCTTAACTGATAATTTAACTTGATAGTACCTTAAGGGAAATTTAAAAGACCTATACCTGGAAAATGGGATGTGAAAATAGCATTCAAACAGCACAGGATATGAAAGTGTTGTTCTGCTTACACCCTAGTCAGTTCACAGGGGTGATGACCTTTTTTTAAAAAAAAAAATTTTTTTTTCTTCATTGATTTTTCTTTATTTTCTTTATTGAATTTTAGAGAGAGGGAGCAAGAGATAGAAACATCAATGAGAGGGAACATCAATTGGCTGCCTCCTGCATGCCCCTCACTGGGGATTTGGCCTAAAACCCGGGCCTGTGCCCCAATTGGGAATCGAACCGGTGACCTATTGGTATATGGGTCAACGGTCAACCACTGAGCCACACTGGCTGGGCAGGAGTAATGACTTTTTTCCCTTCCTAATCCATTTATTGATTTTAGAAGAAGGGAAAGAAACATTAACTGCCTCTCATACACACCTGACCCCGGGGATCAAACCCAAAACCATTTTGGTGTATGGGTTGGCGCTCCCAGCTGGCTGAGCCACCTGGCTGGGCGGGATGATGACTGAATTATTAAAGCGGTTACCTTTGACATCTAATTACTAAATTTAAACAGTAGTATTTATCCCTTATGAGGAATTTAGCTTAAACTAATCCTTTTCTCCTTTTACTGAACATTTAAATTCAATTGGTTAGCTTTATTACTGAAACTTTACTTAAATCTTTACTTATACTAGTTTTAGTATCTTTTGTTCTTCACTGTATATGAGGAAGTGGCATACTCAATATTTTCTTTTTCTTCATCTCCGAATTCCTGTTAACTCCATCTTTTATGCTGTCAGGTTTATGACACTTTGTAACATTTTGTCTCTGGATTGAAGATGCCAAAATGTAGCATTTAAAATGGGTGATGTACTTAGATTTTTAGATTCATAGATAATGAATTGACAAAAATCTGTGTTCTTTGGAAGGCAACATTCTAATACAGAGATAAATTCTTATTTAAAAAATGTTCCTTCATTTGCTTAGATTCATGCCTTTACTAAAATATGATCCGTAACTGATTTTTTCCCCTTTGGTTTCTAATTATTTTTTACTGAGCTCTTCTGCTTATGTAATTATATTTAATGTTCTGTGTGCTCTTGTCATAGGATTTTTTTCCCTCCCGTTCCATTGCTGGCTTTACCATTTCTTAGTTTCCATGGCTTTTCTCTTAGATTCCCTTTTATTCTTGCTGCAGTATATTTTCTAGTAACATTTTCAGAAAGGATATATGAATGGTAACAGTCTTGCATATGGGAAAATAGTTTCATCCTTGCTCTCAATTGACAGTTTGGACATAGGATTCAAGCTGCGGTGTCATTTTTCATCAGAACTTGGGAGTCCTTACTCCATTTTTTTGTTGTGTCCAGTGTTGCTTGTAACCCATCTGATTTGAATGCAGTTTTTCATGTATAGGTAATCTTTTTTCTTATGCATTACCTTCTTTGTTGTTAGTTGGTTTTCTAGTTTCATGAGAATCTGTGCATAGGGTTTAAAAAAAAATTTTTTTTTAATTTTTTTTTTTTTTTAGAGAGAGAAAAATCGATGTGAGAGAGAAACATTGGTTGCCTCCTGCATGCCCTTTACTGGGGATCAATCCTGCAACCCAGGTATGTGCCCTGACTGGGAATTGAACCAGGACCTCTCAGTCCATGGGATGATACTCAATCCACTCAGCCACACTGGCGGGGCTACAAAAATAATTTTTAAAAAATGTTTTTACTGATTTTAGAGAGGGAGAGGGAGGGAGAGAAAAACATTGGTCAGCTGCCTCCTGCATGTACTGGGGATCAAGCCTGCAACCTGGGCTTATGCCCCGACTAGGAATACAGCCAGTGACCTTTTGGTTCATGGGATGACGCTCAACCAATTGAGCCACACCGTCCAGGGCATCTGTGTGTAGGTTT